AAATAATCAATCCCCACTTCGCAGGATCTAAGGGGAGACTAAATAATTCAAATGTCTATTTCTTACTTCACAACACCCACCCCCAACATATAAATGCTATTAGTGCACAGATTTTTTTTTTAAGTTGAGTAATGATTTTAAGAGAAAAATCTTAGTTCAAAGACTACTTTCAGACATCCGTTCCCACAAATGAGAAACTTTAAAAAAAACACTTTTTTGACCTTAAAGCACCAACAATCAGCCCCCCTTCCTCTTTCTCTCTTCTCACACTGCTGTGTTGCCTTACATGGAGCAGGGGGAGAGGAGGAAGTTGGCTCCACAGATAAACTTGTCAAAAGCCTGCACGACAATACTAATGCCTCTCTACCTGTTTGTGAATGTCAGCTGGGAGCAAGCTCTGAAAAGCTTTGGGGGAAAAAAGCAAAGGGGGGGGGGGAAGGGAGGGGGCAAAGAAAAACTAGAGGGCAATTCAAACAAAAATGAAATCTCTCTCACACACACACACACACACACACACACACACTCAGACACACAAAGAGAGGGAAAAAGTGCTCCCCCCAGCTCAGGTCCTAACAACATACTTCTTTATCAGAGGTTCATTGTCAATCAATTAGCCAAGGCAGCAGGGGTCTGTGAGGTGGGGGCTCCCGGGGAAACAATGGGCAGCCCTGTTGTATTACTATTTAATCACTTTTGCTAAATAAATAGAGCAGCCCCGAGGTGCTGTCATGTCAAGGGAATTTATAACAAAACAAAAAAACTTCATTTTTCATTGGTCATTCCTTTTTTCCCCTCAGGACAAGAGAGGATTATTACTGTAGCCTTAAGTTCCATCTTTGTGTTTCTTGCCTTTGATTCCCACTCGGACCCTGCCACTTTCTGGCACTAATTTGTCAGGCTGAACAAAGAGAGGATTTGTACCTCCTGTAAGGTCTCAATTAGGAATGGCTTCTGCTGTATTATGTGCCATTCAGAGAGGACACAATGCCGGTAATTACAGGAATTTGCACTAAATGGCTGAAGAATTCACAGCAAAACTTCCCCCCACCCTCCCCACCTTGGGTTTACCCCTCCCAAAGGCTGGGAGGGGGGGGCGGGGGGGGGGCAGGACGAGGAAAGCAAAAAGCTCTTAAAGCCAGAGAAACGTAATTACCAACAGCAGCCCCAAGAGGTTAAACAGCAGCCGAAGAAGTAAACCCATGAAAACTGACAGCGTGACAACGGTGAGGGATCCCCAGGGCTCACTCTTTCTTGCAGCCTCTTCCTTGTCAACTTCAGAATCAGGAACACTGCCCCACAGTGAGCCATCGGATTTCACTTCCAGATGACAAAGCAGCAAGGAAAGGCGTTTTAAAAGGTGAGCTGTGCGTCTCCCTGATGCGGCATAAACAAGGCCCTGGGCCCTTTTATTATGGTACTGGACTCAATTGCTAGGTTTCTTGATTGCGGGGAAATTACAGGAAAAAATATCTGTGTGTACTAGTGCCAAGAAAGCCTTATCTATGGAGGGGAAATTGGTATGTACACACGTCGCATTCCTGAGGAAAACAGGGCTGCTGCCTCACACCACAGCTATCTGTGAGCGGCCCAACTTAGAAGCACTTATAGGTACCTACTTGATAAATATTTCAATAAGCCGCATAAGCATTTGTCTTAGCATTAATATTTTAATAGCACAGATTCCCCATTGCCAAACACAATTTAGAATCCCACCGGCAACTTCACTAACGGCGGGGCCCTCATCTTCTGCTCAGAGGTATTTCTGAAAAGCTGCACTGAAGCGCCACCGAGTTTTCCTTAAACACCACTGTCCTCACGTGCTCCTCTGCTCAGCACCTCCTGCAGCTTCAGGGTCGGACATTAGGTTCAGCCTTGCCAAACTGCCCGGTTTTTGTAGGTCGACAATAACCCAATATCTGCAATTTCCTACAGTCCACCTCTGTCAGTTCTCTAACTCCAGGTGGGCCTGCCTTCTACAGCTCTTGTCTCAGTTGCCATTTGGCAGTCACGAAGTGATTATATAAATGATGTCTGGCTTCCCTAGTGGAATGCAAGTTCCCTGAGAGCAGGGACCATGTCTGCTTTTTTGCAGCACTGACTTGCCCAGGTGCACCCATTTCAAGGCACCTGGTCAGAGACTTACAACACAATAAATGATGGAATGGAAGAAGTTAATTTTCAAAGGCATATTTTCAGAAAGAGGGAAGAGCACGTGTAAAGGCTGTGGAGGCGGGACTGACCAAGGTAGGTTCCAGAACGCCGAGAAGACCACCGTGGCTGGGGCTTCCCAAGCATAGGGCGGCCGTGGAGCTGAGAGGAAGTCGTGCACCAAACTGCACATAATCAAATACAACTATAAAAAGTTCAAGCACATGCTAAGAAATATACAGTCATATATAAACATGTATTTTTCAAAACCATAACCTCAGACATGTTTGGATGGTTGTGATCCATTTTCTCTGCAGGGGCACTTAAAGTTTTGAAGAATATAGAAAATTCTTCACCTATAGAAAGAATTTAGTGCAATAAGGGCAACTGCACTATTTTGTAGATTTAAAAGCCAACATTTGTGGCTCCCCTGAATAGCAACTGAATGACATCATTAATAAAGAGCTACCCAGTGCAATCTTCCACTTTTAAGGCTTATTCATCAAAAATATTCACAGGGGGAGGGACTAAGTGGACATAAAAACTTACAGTCTAAAGAGGCTCACTAAAACCATGAAATATTGTGAATTAGCTTCTCCTTAAAATAACAGACAAAGCCAAGACTCAACTAAAAACAATTGACTGGACTTTTTGGCCTCTGGAAGGTAAACATGCTATGGAACCAGCTCTTTCACCGAATGAGTGTTTTTATGAGAATGCAAAGCTGGGGAACACAAGTACTACACAGAGAAACAGCTGGTTTAGATTAACTGTGTTTGTGAGAAACATAGATCAATTTTTAAAGTTCCATCTGCTATAATAATCCTTGATATAATGAACAGCCTCCCAAGTAATTTAAAAAACATTCGGAGTTTTGCTTAACAAGTTTCTGCCTTTTCCTTTTGAGACTCTGCCCCCTACAGGAGATGAGGTATTCCTACCTGAGGTAGGAAGCAAGTGTTCCATGCACAGGCAAAGAAGGAAAACGAAAAGCAGCCCAGTAAAACCACTCGTATCACAAGGCAACTGAAGGTAGCCGTTTCCGATGGGAGAGAGAGCAAAGAAATGAAATTAAAACGTTGGACTTTGGAACTGGCCACACTACCCAAATTAGGATTGACTTCTCCCCACCCCAAATTAAAAAGCTGCCTGTGCCCTATTAAAACTCCAAACCAAAGCGTGAAGGTAAAAGCTGAGCAGAGCAAGTGAGTTTGAGACCACCGTACCCCTGTCTCCTGGATTCCTCACTACCACCCATCCCAACCTATGGTCCAACCAACCAACTGTAGTGAACACAGCCAAGGGAGGCACCCTAAAACAGGGCACCCAAAGCAGCTGCCCCAAACTTTTACCCCTGCCCATTATCTAGTCCTTTTCCTATTCTTTTCTACTTAGCATCCTTCCCCCGGCCTCCCATTCACCTTTGTCTTTTTCCTGTTTCATTTACCCACTGCCTATGGAATGGTACCCTCCGCCTGCACTCTCCTCCCTCGGTCTGAGTGCTAGGGCGCTGCTATTGCAGCACAAAACAGTACACACGTCCCTGGGAAGCAAACTCACGAGAGGGAGGTGAGTTAGGCAACAACCAGGTGACAATCCTTATGTTACACCTGAGGCTTTTCTTCCCCTTTTACTAGAAGTTTCCAATTCAGCTACTCACGTCTTGAGAATTAACCTGAGCTGTCCTCCCTGGTTGCAATAACAAGCACGTTTGTTGAACCTGTCAGCAATCTAAAGCGAGAGACATGTACTGTAATTCCAGAATGTGCACAAAGCAAGCTCTCAGTAAATTACTGTCGAATGTCGGGACTTTGAAATATACTCCATCAATTAGTTTAATCAAATACCAAAGTATCAATCATTTGTAAAGACCTGCACTAAAACCAGTGTCTCCTTATTTCAAAACCATTTTCCAAAGTCAAATGGCTGGCTCAGCACAGGCCTTTCCCGCCTGTGCCTTCGGGGGGCGGGGGGGGGGGGGGGGGCGCGGAGGATATGCTCATCACCCAGTTCAGCTTTCTCATTGGCTGAGTGTTTCCAACCTCTCCAACCCCACAGGCAAGTTTCTGCTTCCAGTCCCTGAGGCCCTCCAGGCAAAACAGGGACAATTAAAGCTGCTGTCCTGGTAAATTTCTCGTCACAAATAGTGGGGTTAAGCAAAAGGGAAATCACTTGATTTCGTTTATAGTAGGCATACAGATTTGGTTTACTGCTTTGGGGAAGGTGAGAGGCCTGGGGAGTAGGGGAGAGAGCAAGGACAGGGTTTTAAGAAGTAACAGATGATTAGCCCTGACTCCTCGGTCTCTTGCCTTCCATGGCAGTCCCAGAAGCCCCCACTTCCCCAGGATGAGGCACAGGCCCATCGTGACTCAGAGGCCATCTGCTTAGTCACCACCCACCCTCCACGTTTCTGTCGAGGCTGACTCCGTAGATTCCACCTTAACAGGATCTGACAAGTCATGAGCCATGGCAATGACTGACCACGGACGGGTTCCTTGCCTAAGAATGTCGGTCGTCAGCTCTGGGCCTGAATGTCTCGTAGGAGACAGTCGTGGCCTCCACATTCACAGTGACCTTGATTGAAGGAGGCAGAGGAAACAGAACCCGGCAGACGCAGGAGGCCTAGTCTAGTGAGGCAATGGTTTGGCCAAGCCATTTGGAGTCAATGGTGTCTATCACCTCTGCTTCTACACTTACTTCACCAGCATGGCGTGAGGACAAACAGACGTTCTAAGACAGCTTGTTAAACTGAAGGGGCTGTGACTGGCCTACGGAGGGGATTTTTAAACCGAATTCTAATTGTGAGCTTCAGCACTGGGTAATGAGCTTTAGGCTAAAAGGCTGCTTCCTACCTGCACATTTGAAGCTCTGAGCAGTGAGTCCTCGTTCCAAAGACAGAGTCGTCAGGATGCTGAGGAAGCTGGTGGTCACGGACTGCCGCTTGCTCTTCCTGAGTTCGTGCCCCCCCATCGGATCCTGGGCCTTGTTCCTCAGGGTGACTTGCAGGTTTTGCTCTGAACTCCTCGCCGCATTGGCAGCTGTTTTCAGAGCCTCCATCCACTCCTGAGCCCTCTGCCGCGTCTCTGCCCGGAGGCGGAGGACATCTTGGGGGAAAATGACTTGAAAGCAAGAGTCACAGTCATCCAGGTTGTCCATCTGGACAGCCAGACACACATCCACGTTGTAGCTTAGGAGGGGGTCCTCGTCCAGCTTGCCGGGCTGAAAAGCCATGAGGTAGGCCCTGCTCAGCACAAACGTGAACGCCTTCCAGTTGTTCTGCACGGTGAGCCGGTAGAGCATCCCGGACTTGAGGACGTCCTGGTACTGTCTGGGGCCGCCCGCCACAGGGGACCGCGCGAGCAGCTCGCTGGGCTTCTGTAAACAATGACCCTGTGTGCAGTCAAAATGATAACCAGGCCGTGGTGAGTTGGCCAGCTCATCCTGCCGCCCCACGTTGCCGGGCACGGCGGCATGCACGACCTCCCAGAGCTTCTGCCCCCAGTCCAAAGCCTCCCACGGGGACTCTGCCTTTAGCTGCAGCTGCGAGTTGTCATACAGAACAGTGTCCACCAGCCTGGCCTCGAGGTTGCCCAGGACAGATACGCTCTGGAAGTGGGAGAGCGGGTACGTGGCAGAGAGGCTCTGATTCCCGCTGCTGTCGCGGCTGTAGAAGCACAAGTTGTAAGGTGAGAGTTCTGCGTAGCAGCTTTGCCAGTAGCTGTCGTGGTCCCTCCTAATCTCCAGGTAACCTTTCTTCAGAATGTTTGGGAATGCCTGCTTGTGTTCTACAAAGAAAAAGAAAAAAAAGACCAAAAGAGCAATGTACTCATGCATTCATATGAATAAATCGAGTGCGATGAAAAGGCAGGTGCAAGAAACCAAGTGGATCAGGAGTCGATACCTTTCTAGTTCAAACTCAACACAGGGGAGGTAATAAAATTACAAGATAGTCTTGATGTAACTGGGGAAACCTCAGGTCTAAGAAACCTAACTAGGGTGGAATAAAAAGTACAGAAGTAAGAATCGGGGAGAAGATGTGACATGCAGAAGTCTGTGTGGAAAACAGAAATGCTGGGAACATGTGACTACCTGTGCCCCGTAGACCTGGCAAACAATTACACTTTGCCAGGATTTCTTGTTTTCTAGGTAACATTCTACAGAGTCCGAAATACACGAGACAGAATGTTCCTCCTGCCACCTGGCCTGACTCCCTGCTAAGCCTCATCTTTCTTCAGATGCTGAAGCCAGGCAGGGCCGACAGAAAGGACAGAGCAGGAGTGTGCTGCTCCCTGATTCTGCTTCTCAGACACCCCGTTAGCCTTCAAGGCCAGTTCCCGAGCCTCCATCTTATAGCCAGTTCCCCAGGCGTGACTCAACAAGCTCTCTCGTTAGGTCTCTGCTTAGATAACAGTTCTCACCTCTGAGCTCGGCTGTGTTTACGCTATTCCCTCCGCTCGCAATGCTCCTTCCTACCACTTCTACCAGCTCCCAGACACTTGCCCTCACTCAGCTACCCCCTCTTTAGCAGGGGAGTTTGTCCTCACCCCCGCCCCGCCCCAATCCCCTCCCCCTGCCTGCACATGCACACCCCTGGATCAGTATCAGCCTCCCTACATATTATTCCTCTTCCATGGGCCTTTGTCAAGCTGTATTATAATCATTTATTTAAATATCAAAATAAAATACATTTTGAAGTTGTTTTAAAAGTCTGTCCTTCCTACTGAGGGCTAGGGTGAGGTCTGTCTTTTCATCCTTATATCAAAGCACATAATGCAATACCTGGTACACAGTAGGTACTTTAAAAGAACTTGTTGAATTAGAAATAAAGCTTCTAGCCCAATGCCCAGCATATAGTAGGTATAATTCCCTTCCGCACTGTTTCACAAGTTTACCTGGTCATGCCATCTCTAATCAATGACTAAACACAAACAAGTTTGATACTTTAATAAAAGGGGACATCACTTGGGAGATTTCCCGATGCTTTCCTCAGGCATGAAAATGATAACCCTGCAAGAGGACGCAGTCCTCCCTGGTAGAGACCTTTATTTCTGACATGTTTCTCAACCTCTTTGCTGACACACATTGGAGACAGGCATAAGCTCACTGACTCATTCCCAAGAGAAGACAAACCACACTCCCAAAGGGCATGATTTCTGATCTTGGCCGAACAAAAGCCGAGTAACACAGATCTAGATCTTAAAATAGCAAACCAGAGAGGAAAGGAAAGAAATGAGGCAGAGACGAGCCTGTTTCACCTGCTTTACATCCCTGGTCCTGACATTCATTTGTATTTCTGTGGTAACGCAAAAGCCACTGGCTTCTTGCAACCCACACTAATCCCTTTGTAGAAAGAGATAATGGATGCCTATTCTCAGGTTACCTTTCTGTTCTGATACTGCAATAAGGGCAGCGGTGCTGTTAGACACTGCTGCCGCCTCTCCCCTCTCATCTCCACCCAGCGCTGATGAGAGCTCCACCTTTTCCATAAGACTCCTAACCAAGCGACCCTCCATCCCCATCCCTCCTGCCCAGCGGCTCAGCTACGCAGCCCTGAGTACAATAAAAATCACCTCTCTCACTGTTAGCTAGGAATTTTCCTCTCCTTTTCTTTCCTGCTCGAGAGCTTTTTATAAAAACTACCATGAACTAGAAATTCTACACTAATTGGGTCCAAACCAGTAGCAAACCTGACTAAATCCTCACTTCTTTCTAACTGTACCAGCTAGGGTGGAAGATGAGAAGTCCTTGCTTGGTGAACTAGATGAGAAGTCTTCTGAGGGAGTCTCAAAAGTTCCCTCACCTTCCTGATGCAGAATAAGGGGTAAGAAATGCATTGTTTCAATAATTTTCCCTACCTCGGCTCAGACCTTTCTAAATAGGTATATTAACTGGAGACAGAAGAGGGGGTCTTAGTCATAGGCAATGGCCCATACTTAAGGGCTAAGTTTATAGTGTAATTTCTTGAAAAAGAAGAATCAAGAAAGCAAATGTGATCAGAAAACTATTCCCTAAGGTGTGTATTCCTCTCTGGAGTGCCTGTTTATATCAGACCCTATTAATATTTTGGGTGTGAAGTATTAATTATCTTTGATTGTAGAGAACTGGAGAACTACCATTTCTCTAACAACTGCTACTTTCTACTAAATTTGAAGTTTAATTTTTAATATTTTTTCTACTGACAAAGTAGAAGTTATATATTTAAATCTAAGCTTCATTAATTTACTATAGTTCAACTTTTGTTTCCCCAGACCATATCATTTCAACTCATTTAATTAACCCACACACGATTGTAAAGTGTTCAATTTTACAAATCAATATGATATCTGTCTTAACTAATATCACAAATTATTAATATCACAAATTAACTAATGTCCCAACTTCAGATGGGTCCACTGACAAAGATATTGTGATTGCCTCAATAAAATAGAGAACAATGATCAAAATGAATTGCTGTGCCTATAAATTTCATCCTGCAGCCACAAGACAGTAATTCCTCATTAAAAAATAAACATATACACAAAGAAAGACAAAAACAACTCTTTGTTTACCCATTGCTTTCCACTGTCTAGCAGGACGACCTGGCTCAGTTCCTTCTCAGCGAAGACCCTTTTTCCTCTCCTCCTCGTCTGATGGTAGCCAGTGCTGTGCTTTACGGACAATAATTACTACCAACTGAAGAGGAAGAGGGGCATTTCTCCCCCCACGCCCCCCCCACCCCCCACCCCGGCACCTGAGTCACTTCTGTACTGCCCACTCACCAAACATCTGTTTTCTATAGGGAATTACTCAATTAGCTTAAGACTGTCACCAAAGAGTTCCCCTTTTGCTAGTATTTCCTCTATCTGTTCTCAAAAAAGTTTCCATTCTCATGGCCACCACCTTAATCAAACTCTTACTGGTGAATAGGCTCCCACATCTAGTCCGCCTCCTTCCTGGCCATTTCACAGCTACTAGGTTAACCTTTTTGGGTCACTTGATAAATCAAACCCCTTCACAAGTGTCCTGGTGCTATATAGTAAACTCCAAACTCCAGTTTGGAATCCCGTGCACGAACCCTTATAGGATTTTATTATGGAAATTTTCAAACACACTCACGAACTTGTAGACGAATAAAATGAACATCCCTGTGGAATCATCCCTCAGCTTCAAAAATCACCCAGTTTCTGCTATTCTTGTTTCATTTCTCCCACCCCACTTGTTTTTATTATTATTTTTGCTGGAATATTTGAAAGCCAATTGCAGACATTTATCTATTCTAAATACTTCAGGGTGTATCTCTAACAAGTAAGGCCCCAGCTCCTCATACCATCACTTTAGGTACCAGGAGTTTAAGATGTGAATTTGGGGGGTACTCAAATATTCACACCACAGCATCAATAAACAGATCCATGTTGCTCAACTTCTATCATATTTTTAATCCTGCAACATTACACTAACCAACGTCCTGTACAAGTGCTCTAGAGGACAGCGTTAAAGCCACGGGTGCTGAAGCCCAGTGGCTTAAGTTTAAATCATAATTTTGGCCTTACTGGCTGTGCGACCATGGGCAAATTACTTGACCTGAGTCTCAGTTTTATCATCTTTAAAATGGAACTATAACAGAACCTGCTTCATTGTTCCATTGTGAGGAAGAAGTTAGTAGTTCTTAAGAACAATGCCTGATACATCCTAAATATTCAATAGATGTTTCCTATTTTAGTCTTCTAGTCTCAAAAGAAGAAACTTCTTGCCTCCTTGTTAATGCCTTCCACCTCTACTCTGTACCTAATTCCTTCCCACCTCTTCAGAATCTCTTTTTCTATAACTGTTTAAATCATCCCTCGATTAATCTCTCTTCCTCCTGACTTCCAAAATCCTAAGGCTTGATGTATCTATTAAAAAATTATTCACGGTGATCCTACCACCTCTCCTATGGCTCAATCTGTCTCTTTCCTTCAGATTCCAACTTGTTATAATGCCTCCACTTCCAATTGGCCTCTGGTTGTTGCTCTGACTTCATCTCACATCGGCCTACATCCCTTCTCTCCCTCCAGCCACAATCCTCTATGTTCTCTGAACAAGCTAAGCACACTCTAGCCTCAAGGCCTCTGACTTATTGGTCTCCTCAGTTTTCCACCTCAGGTGCCATTCTCAGTGAGGCCATCCCCCCCCCCCCCCCATCTTACTAACTTGCTTTATTTCTTTCAGAGAACTCTCTCCTTCTTGCGGGGAGGTGGGGAGGAGCTGAATGTCTCTCTCACCCCTGTATACCCAGTGGTTGGCTCCATAAATATTTGTTAAATGTACATACAAAGAACTATTCTATTTATAGCCCAATTAGAGCCCTTCTTTTTCTTTTCACAAGTCCCACTTTCTCTTTTGCTAGTCACCCTTATTTGAGTCCTCATCGCCTCACATCATGATGACTGGCAGAGACTTCTCACTGGCTTCCACCCCCTTCCATTCTTTCCACCTACATATCCATCCCATGTACTCTTGGGGGCTAAGGAGAGCCAATCAATAGCATCCCTGTTCCTCACCCAAATTGCAAACCAACTGAGGTTAACAGAGGGTAGACAGGCTCGTGGAAACCAAAACATCAGCCAGTTGGAAGACACAGCTTGGCGGGGGGGGGGGGGGGGGGGGGGGGGGTCCTCCTAACTGAACCCCAGGATTATACAGACTTACCCTGAGTCACAAGCAGCAGTTACTGCCCTAGGCTTCCCCCTCCTGAGGGACAATGGCAGAGCCCTTATGGAGGAGCAACCAGAATTAGTCCTCCTGTGAGAGAGGCCAGTTCTAAATA